GCTTCCATCCTTATACCCTCCTCTGAGTCAACTCGAGACGACAGCAATAACAGGCCTCTTCAGCGTTGAGTCAAACACGTTCGGACAATGTTCATTGTTGCAGTAAGGGTGTATGGGTGTAGGGTTGACCACAGTGCTGATAGGTCTTGTTAGATCAACGATTGGCGTAGCGCGGATGAAAATATCGGAAAAAGGGATTTCAAAACAGAGAGGTTTGAGGATGAGGATCGGGGTTGTCCAATAACGGTAAGAAGAGCAATGAGTATGTTGATGCCGAACGAGGTTCGGGCTTGGATTAGAATCTAGTAAAGTATCAACGTCAAGTCAGAAGATACAGTTCACGCCAATCGCGTACCTGTTCGTAAAGCCTAATCTCATCATCCAGATGATCCTTCGCCAGAATCGCAAAATCCTCCACCTGAGCAGGGTACGTCTCCGTTTCGGCTATAGTTGTATCGAGGACTGTTTTACACTGAGAGGCCAGCTCATCACCCATCTACAAAAATAGTCAGATTGGATGCTTCGGAATAAATGACCGGCGAATGAACGTATAGTACCTTCCCAACCCGGTAAGATTCTCAGAACACCTTTGTATGTCAGCGAAAGATGGGCAACAAACCTCGACGATTCATCGAATCTGTCGTGAGTTGTGCGGCGAGCCTAGACCGAAACCAAAAGTAACATCCGTGTTACAACTTCTGCATACATAGCTACTATCCAGGGATACCCGAGCACTCTGCCCGTTTCGAGATCCCCTCTCCTAGCTTTGAACGAAATGCTTCCCAGCGTACTGCTTATTCATAATCCAGAAGCGGAGGCGGAGGCAGAGTAATTACTGGAAACCAGCGAGAGAGCGCAATATAAATATTGATGAAATGGGAGGAACGTTGGACGGTTATCCGTGTGGGTGATGGAGGCGACGAAGAGGACGGAACGTTGCAGACGTTGTAGTCAATAAAAAGTGCCGTTTCAAGACGTTGTTGGACCAAGCCTCATGGAAAGTTTTTCAACATAGGGAACCAGGCCAGGCAATGTTATTAGAGCCTATTGGTAGCGGTTGTAGAAGTGAATTCATAGAAAAAAGAGAACCAGCGGCGTAGTCTCGCATGAAGAAAAATCAGAAAGCTGTAGGCGCCCGTGAGATGAAGTCATATGAGATGATTAATCATGATTACGGTGTGGCTCAGTCGGCCGTAAGTAAGTACGTAGGACGTGTACTACGAAGCCGAAACAGTTCAGCATACAATTTAACTGTGTGTCGGTTGGGATGGTGCATGATGGGGATCCAATGGGGATAGCCTAAGCTGAGCCTTGTTGAGTTGGTCTGGGATGGTGCGGCAAGAGGCGACCGTGTCGACAACTTGAATATCCACAACATTCAAATTTTTACCTGCCACGCAAGGCAATGGCGACAAGTAGGCACTAGTCGAGATGGAGCTTAATGGAGTAGGTATACTGGCTGTTTAGCGAGCGCAACCAGGACTTGCGGAGTCCCAGGATACAGATGAGCTGGTAGTCCAGGGTAGTCCCCAGTGCTGACCTGTTTTGCTAGGGGTCGACTGGTCTACCTAAGGCAGAGAGGATCCCTATAGGATCGACGTTCCTCCGCAGCTATACAAAAGCAATCGATATCATTATGTAACTCATCAGTCAACTGCTGTCTTGAGGAATAAAGTCCTATTCAATCTATCAGCTGTCTTAAACGCTGATTGTATTACAGCTATCGTAACTCAGATATATGTACGTCGAGATGATAAGTACTTACATCGGTTCATGTATAAGTACAGGGATGACGCGGACGAGTATCAATTCCCCCCCCTTGCGCCCCCTGACATGGCCTCTTCTCCTACGCAGATCGAAAACAGGGCTAGTATCTCATACTCTCATCTGCAAACATCGGACGATACACCTACAAGTACACCTGATCGTCCAAGTGGTGCCTCTTCACCACTACCACTGCATGTGGGGACAAAGGGCACAACCATGGGCTATTTCACCATCCTTTCTTGCTACATCGGCGCTGGAGTCGTTGCAGTAATCAACCATATCGTGTTTTCGAAACTTAACGGGACACTAACGGGTGATCATACAAAGCAATTCTGGGTGTCACTGCTGCAGAACGTCTTCCCGACTGCAGTAGCACTTGTTTTGTTTACATCTCTCAAGGCTTGTCTTTCACAAGCGGTATAGTCTATTAGTTCAATTATCTTCCGTTGTAATTTATCTATCTTTGCAGGCCCTACATCGCCTTTGCTCTGGCACTCATTCTGTAGGACTCGTCAGTCTCATCACCTCTCCACCTGGTTTACTCGCCACCCTGAAAATCCTGGCAAAATCAGGGCTACGCCGCCGAATCTTGGAGTTGGTCATTCTTTCTGGGCTGGCTCAGGCTATTGCTGTCACTTCAATATTCATTCCTGGGTCACTGACTATTGTGTCAAGTCCCGCACAATTAAGACTCCTCGAAATCCCTACCATCGACTTGAATGCAGTTGCTCCAACCTCATCATCTGTCAATAAAGTTGATGTAATAGGCGTCGATCTTCTTCCAGGTGGAACGAATGTCCAGACCTTAAGTTTTGTGAGTCCATCACAGCGCTGGACTCGGCTATTAGGGCGATCACTATTATCCAGTAGTGCCCCAACATGGGATACTCCCGCCGGGTGCGAATTCTCATGCAACTATAGCTTCTCCTATACTGCCCCTGCCCTCAACTGTACCGCACTATCCAGGGAAGATATCTGGCCAAACAACAATGCCACGTCCAACAGCAGCCTGTTGCAATTTCCTCTTTTTGTAGAAGAATCATTTAATGGCGGCAATTCATCACAACCAGAGCCGGAGTTTACTTATTACTTGTCATCATCGGGGCTTCCGTTCTCTCCCACATTCGACCTATATTACATCGAATGTTTCAACTCTACATTTGTGTTCACCGACCAAGCTTTGGCCCCGGGGGCCAAGGCTTTAATCTATCTAACTATGACCCTCGAGGTGTTCGTTGTTTATTTCAGAATGCCACATATGAAGCGACGACTGTGTTCTCTCCGACCGGTCAGACCTCCACCACTCGTGTCATTGAATGGCATGATTCCCCAGATGATTCCTTTCCTGTTGTGGACAACTCAACAGTGTTGGGAGCCACTGAAGTAAACGTTACAATGGCCTCACTCAGCATTGCCAATGTCTATGCCCAAATGCTCAACGGGAGCCTCGCTTATATCCCTGAAGTGGCTCTGCCTCCCCCCATTCAGGCGTTTAACACCCCACTATTCAACCTGACCAGCTCCTTCTCAGTAGAGTTGAACTCAGATGAAGTAGTGCTTTCATTATCATCAGATATCAACAACCTTACAGATGGACTCCAAGGCCTTTTTCAAAATTCCACCCTTGCATTGGTCGGTGAGGGAGCAGCTACAATGTTTGTTAATGTTACAGTCGCCCAAGATAGCTTACAGTACCAGTATCACCCTCGAAAGCTGGGTCTGATATACGGGATTGTGTTCGGAGTAGCGCTTCTCGTGGTGATTGATGGGTTGATCTGTCTTCGGGCAAACGGTACAGCTGCCAACTTTGATTTTCAAGGAATTGTTGAGATGACTGCAGAAAGTCGTGGCCTGCACGAATCAGCAGTCCTTCCGCATTTTGCGGATGTTCCTGTTAGAGGAACACTTGGTATTAGTAGCGGTAACAACGCTACAAGACCTGTTCTAAACAGTGATTGGGAACTAAAGAAGCGAGCTACAACTGGTGACACGGATAACTAGTGCGTACTAGTGTTGGTTAGCTGGAACGCACCGTCTAGCATACAGCGCTTGAAATAGCTGGAAAACCACAGTAGACTGCTGAACAGCAACTCCAGTGCATTCACGTTTGGGAGTTGACAGATGCGGTAGGCTACTAGTAATTACGAACTTTTTTCAACGACAATTTGTACGCCCCCTCATTATATGCTAAGTTTCTGCATCAAAGCAAGCGCCAAGTAAGCGTAGTAAGAATGGACCTGGCAGTGATAACGACGATGTGAGAAGTTAGAGCACTCAATTTTTTGTGGGGAATCCCACTGTACGATGGCGTCGCGAGCTGTTGCCACCAGGGTGACCAGTGGTGTTGTAGGACACTCCATCCCTAACACCCGCCGAAAGCATATAAGTTAACAACAGCGATAATTCTTTAACCACATGAAAAGGAAACGTCAAAGTACTTCAGCGGTTATGACTAGTCGCCAAACTTAAATGTTGAATATTACTGCAAGGAGAGGTCCACAGTCAGCTGTAGGGCGGGTGGGCCGACAAGCTCCTGTGCTTGGACTTGCAAGTTGCGATGGGGGTTGCACGCAAGGATTAAGAAGGACAACCGGCCAGGTCCCACAGCCGGGTGACGGGTCCAGGTCCACATTCAAATGAATGCGCTGGGGATATCAGCATTTTTTCGATTCATGGCTGTGGACCACAACTGCAAGATTTAAATCGAGCACTGCTTTTAGGCGTGGAAGAAAAACACGTTATCTTCCACCGATGAAGCGAAGTGAGGGGAGTCGAGACGCTTGAAATAGCTGGAAAACTGCAGTAGACTACCGCACGGCAAATCCAGTGCATACACGTTTCGGAGTCGACAGGAGCAGGGTAATTATTAACGACAGTTTGTACACTCCCTCATTATATGCTATGTTTCTGCATCCGCACTAAGTAAGTGTAAGAATGGACACATGTGTAATGAATACCGAAAATCCGAGTCCTTTTGAAACATTGTGCCGGCGACCCTATAGTCTTGATGATACATACATTGATAACTACCTTGTGATAAGTGGCAGGTCCAGCCGAATCCGGAGAACCTGACCACTATCATCCAAGTTGCATGTGGGCCTCGCTTGAACCAATCGATTATTGAAGGATATAAACACATCTAGCCCAAGTTCTTCAATGTAGCGCATTGTTATTGAAAAATAACGAAATGCTACAAAGTGAGAGGAAAAAAAAACAACATAGTACGTCGCAAACTCTCTGGCTGGGAGTCGAACCCAGCTTTCGCGCGGTGTTAATAACAACACCTTCATGACAGGTGCGTGTACTAGCCGATATACTACCAGAGAGTCCATACATTGTACTCACATAATCGATTATAGTATCGAGAATTCGTGAGTAATTCGGATAAAAGTTTGGGTCAGGAGAAAAAACGCACAGCATCTGAGGGATATCGATGTAGTGGCCATACACTATTTATGTGACGACGACAGTCCTCTCGACGGTGGATGACGAAAACGTGAGAGAACGTGGAAAACTTGAAGGATCTGGAGCGAACCACTCCAGTAGAGTCCAGAAAACTCGATCAATATCATGCAAGTTGCAGACCGGAAGCTAGCAAAACGCGGTTGAAGCATTCGAAGAATATCCACACATGCCCGAAAGTATCATCGATGAAAAGATTGAAGGAAAGTGGGTACGAATCTGGTATCTGGTCCGTTCTGTTCCACGCAAGTTCTAGATATAACAGTCATCATCCACGCTCACTCAACAATCACCAAAACAAATTCCAAACACACTCCCCCTTCCATCCTTATACCCTCCCAAGTAGCGACACTAACAGGTCTCATCGGCGTCGAGGCGAATACGTGCAGGAAAGGTTGAAGCAGTGGTGTCGGGGTTGACCGTAGCGCTGATAGCTCTGGTTCACGTTCATAGATCGATGGTTGGCGTGGTACGAATGAAGGTATTGAGAAGGGGATAAGGGTATAAGTTCGAGACGGAGAGGATTCAGTATTCAATGTGAGGTGTTATTGCATGCATGCTGTGATGAGGGGTCGTTTGATAAGGGTAAAGAAGGGCCAAGGGGTATGTCAATGTCGAACGAGGCTCAGGCTACTTAGTTGAAGCCGGGTTGAAATCTAGTAAAGCGTTAGTATATAGTTCACGCCGATTGACTAGTGACTTTTGAACAGTAACCAGAAAGGGAAAAAGATCTGGTAAATTCCAGCTTCCGCCGTAGCATGCCCGAATATGGCCCTCAACCTTGCATACCTTTCCCGGCTGTCCTCGTGCGCTCTGCAAAGTAATCTTTCTATTGAAATATTGAACGCCGAATGAAAGGCTTGTGCGTAAAATGAGGTCCAGCGGGTGCTCGTGCGTGACGGAATAGAGTTCCATTTCAGCTAATGGAGTTTACGCAGACTCGTTGTTCAGCTCAAAATGCATGTTACGACTTCTGCGTACCTAGCCACTGGATGCTTGACAGCTCTGGCTATGTGTCGTTCGAGATACGCTCTTCCCTGGAAGCCTACGAGAGAGCGCAGTGTGAAGAACAACGAGATGTGACAAGCGATGCTGGACGGTTTCCGTGTGGGCGATGGAGCTCTGGAGGTGATGAGGAGTCGGGATCTGGAACGTTGAGCATTGAATATTTGAATGGCGAGGTGACGTTGTACACGGTATAACCGGTAACCACCAGAAAGTAAAAAGGTCCAAAGTACATGGAAGTTCTAGGCAAGGTCGATTAGGCGCCCGTGGGATGAATGAATTCGGCTGTACGACTGCGTACGAAGCGAAAGTACTGGTCCCGATACATGAACGTCATGAATGATAAACGCATAAAACAGTTCACTATCCTGTGTGTCAATTGGGATAGTTAGTGGCGCGGCAAGTGGTGTATCCACTCGTGACTCGATCTTTAAGCACAGTTAAGCACACGCCAAGTAAGCGTAAGAATAAGAATTTTTTGGTATAAGGTCCACTTTCGCGGTATCAACGATATCCAAGAAAATCACGATGACAGGGGCGTGTACTAGCCAATACACTACCAGAAAGTCCATACGTCGTACTCGCATAATCGATTAGTGAGTAATTAGGACAGTGAGATAAAAGCTTGCGAGAAAAAACTCATAGCCTCTGCTGAGGAATATCCATGTAATGGCCATACACTAGTATTTACGTGACGACGACATATAGACAGTTTCGACGGGTGGATGACTAAAACGGGGGAAGAACGTTGAAAACTTGGAGGATCTGGAGCGAACCGCTCCAGTCCAGAAAACTTGATCAATATCATTTCAAGTGGCAGACGGAAGCTAGGTAACGCGGTTGAAGCATATGCATTTGAAGAAGTAACTACGCGATGCGAAAGTATCATTGATAACGACGGTGTGAGAAGTTAGAGGACTCAATTTTTGTGGGGAATTGGAATGGCGTCGCGAGCTGTTACCACCGGGGGGTGACCGGTGGTGCTGTATGACCCTCTATCCCCAACACCCACCGAAAGCATGTAAGTCAAGGAACAGCAATAACTTTTTGACCACGTGGAAAGAATACATCGGGAAACGTCAAAGTCAGCGGCTGCCAGATACCTAGTTGCCAAACTTGAATGTTGAATATTACCGCAAGGAGAAGTCCATGGGCCTTCGGGTCCACTCAGCATCTAGAGGTCTACAGTCAGCTGTAGGGCGGGTGGTCCGGCGACAAGCTCCTGTGTTTGGACTTACAAGTTGCGATGATACTTGTACGGCATGATTAGGAAGGACAACCTGCCACCGGCCAGGTCCCACAACCGGGTTCAGGTCCACATTCAAATACAAACGCAGGGATATCAGTATCTTTGACTCATGGCTGTGGACCACAATTGCATGATTTAAATTGAGCACTGCTTTTAGGTGTGGAAGAAAAACACACTAGTCTTCCACCGATGAAGCGAACTGGGGGGAGGAGTTGAGACGCTACTTACATGAAGACTCCTGTTTGCCCTGCTCGCTACTCTCGTATGCAAACTATCACTTCTTATGTATCCAGGTACCGTCGTCGCAATAACGGAGAATGCAGGATGTCACCGTCTGATTAAGGAACTATCGGTGCGACCGGCACTTGCGGAGCCTCGTACAGACGAGCGTGACCGTTGGGCTAGGCCCCCAGAGTCTCCAGTGCTGACCGGTTTCGCTGGTCGACGGCCCACTGCAAGCTATAATTGTCTCAGTACATCTCGACTTTCTCACATTGGTGGAGTTGGGTCGGTCGCTGCGACTGCTCCTTGGCCGGTACCACTTTATACAGCTTTATACTCATCAACTGCTCATCAGTTAACTGTCTTGAACACTGATATCAAAACTTAGACTATGCATCAAGTCTCTGTAGGAACGAATTAAACTCAGTGGGTAATGAAAACCAACTATATTGTATATACCTGTAGGAACGAATTAAACTAGAATATATCGTAAGTTAGAGAAACAGAATAAATAAGAACGAGCTCACCTCAGTGGGTAATGAAAACCAACTGAGGGAGCTCGGAGACGCCGTCTAGCGTGGTATAGTACCAACTGTACAGTATCTAGTAAGCTAACGGCGTATACCAATAAAGAGATGTCAAAGCAAGGTGTACTGCACCTCGTACGTACGGAGTAATACTCCAACAGTCTCAAGATAATTACATCTGTTCATGTAAGTATAAGTATGTGGATGGTTCGCACAAGAACTAATTCCTTCGAGTCCCTTACGGCTTTGGACATGACATCTTCTCCTTCGCACATTGAAAATAGCTCGGCTGTTTCATATTCTTATCTGCAAACATCTGAGTCTGAGGACCCACCTGAATGTTCCACTGGTGACTCAGTTTCTCCACCGCCACTCCATGTTGAGACGAGAGGCACCACCATGGGTTATTTTTCTATCATATCCTGCTACATTGGTGCTGGAGCCGTTGCAGTGACCAACCATATTTTATTCTCTCGGCTTGAGGGGACATTACCGGGTGACCATACAAAGCAGGCCTGGGTGTCATCACTGAAAAATATCTTTCCAACTATAGTAGCACTTTTGTTATTTACATCTCTAAAAACTTGTCTCTCACAATCGGTATGGCTAAATCAATCACTTTTGCATTCATAAAATAATTCACTTTTTTCAGGCCCTATATCGTCTTTGCTCTGGTACTTACTCTGTAGCACTAGTCAACCTTGTTACCTCTCCACCAAGCTTCCTCACTGCTCTGAAAACCCTGGTGAAATCAGGCCTTCGTCGCCAAGTATTGGAGTGGGCCATTCTTGGTGGAATGGCTCAGGTTATCACAGTCACTTCAATCTTTGTCCCTGGGTCACTGATAATTGTGTCAAGCCCCATACAATCCACGCTCCTCAAAATTCCTATGATTGACTTAAACGCAGTTGCCCCAGCCTCATCATCTATTGATACTTCTTCAATGTCGGGATCTTCTACAACTGGTAAGCTACAGGACCTGTCTTTCACCAATCCATCACAACGCTGGACTCGGTTGTTACAACAGTCACTGCTATCTGGGAGCGCCCCAACATGGGATGCTTTCATGCAACTATAGCTTCTCTTATTTTGCCCCTGCTATCAACTGCACTTCATTATCCAGGGTAGATATCTGGCCAAACAACAATGCCAGCACCAACAGCAGCCTTTTGGCATTTCCTGTTTGGTTAGATGATCCAACTATTAGTGACCAGCCAACACCACAGTTCACTTATTATCTGTCATCATCTGGTCTTCCACTCTCTCCTACACTCGACCTATATTACATTGAAGGTTTTAACACAACGAGTCTGATAATTAGCTCAGGGGGGGGCCTCTTAAACCCAAACTTCAATTTATCTGAGTATCACCCTCGAGGTGTTCACTGTGGATTTCAGAATGCCACATATGAGGCAACAACTTTGTTCTCTCAGAATGGTCAGATCTCCACCACCCGCATCGTTGAATGGAGTGGTTCCTTGCCTGGCAGTGATGGGGCACTGGGACTTCCGCTGTCCAATGTAACAAATGCTACAATGGCCCTATTCAGCATTGCCAGTGTCTATGCCCAAGTTCTCAATGGGAACCTCACTTTTGATCCAGAAAATAGTGGATTCCCCACTATTCAGGCATTTGACACCCCGCTCTTCAATGTGACCAGCTTCACCTCGACCCTGACAGGTGCCGGAATTTTGCTTTCATTATCACCCGATGTCAGCAACCTCACAGATGGACTCCAAAGTCTCCTTGGCAACTCCACCCTTGCATTGGTTGGGGAGGGAATAGCTACAACATGGGTTAATGCTACAGTGGTCCCAAATAGCTTACAGTACCAGTACCACTTTGGAAAGCTGGGTTTGATATATGGGATTGTGTTTGGAGTAGCACTTCTCGTGGTGATTGATGGATTGATCTGCCTTCGGGCAAACGGTACAGCTGCGAACTTTGAATTCCAAGGAATTGTGGAGATGACTGCTAATAGTCATGGTCTGCATGAATTGGCAGTTCTTCCACGGTTTGCGGATATCCCCGTGAGAGGAATGCTTGGCAGCAGCAGCAGCACAAGGCCTATTCTAATTAGTGACCGGGACGAGACGAAAACTGAAACTAGTACTAACTAATGCTGCGTAGTTTTTGTTCACAGAATGTTGCTGGACTGGAAGGCACCGTCTCTAGCGTCGTTCACTTTTTTTTTCATGGCTTTTTTTTTGATAGTTTGGTATGACACTAGGTCATCACAATGGGGAGGAAGCTGGCACACTGGTAGAGTATTACGCCTTTGAATTATCCTCAATGACAATTTTCCCAATATATTTCATGCTTTTATCTTCTCTAAATACATGGCACCCGGGGGGAACATACTTGTGGGAATGAAGAAATTTTATTGGGCGCTGGTGTTTGGGCGATTAGACCCAATCAACGGTGCGTAACATGCGGGACACATTTGAACTATGCATCAAGCAGTCTGTTGGGCATGAGGTGTATCACTCAGAACATCCGCTCATGTAACTTACACTAGGTATGACGGTCCTCATCCAATCACCAACAAAGCACTACCCATTTCAATCCATATACCCTCCCAAATAAACTCCCAACAGCAACACCAACAGGCCTCATCGGCGTCGAGGCGAATACGTGCAGGAAAGGTTGAAGCACTGGTGTCGGGGTTGACCGCACTGATAACTAGATCATTGGTTGGCGTAGTACGGATGAAGTTTTCGAAGATGGGGATTTTGAGACGGAGAAGGTTCAATGTGAGGTGTTATCGATTATCGTGTGCACGCTGTGATGTCGATGAAGAGTGTCTGATAACGGTAAAGAAGGGCCAAGGGGTATGTCGGACGAGGCTCAGGCTACTTGAGACCTAGTAAAGCGTTAACATATAGTTCACGCTGCGATTGACTAGTATTGACTTTTGAACAGCTCTGTAAATACTGGCAAATTCCAGCTTCCGTAACATGCCCGAATATGGCCCTCAAACTTTGCACGCCTTTCCCGCCTGCTCTCGTGTGCTCCGCAAAGTGATCTACATCTTTCGATTGAGATACTATTGGGCTCCGGATGAAAAGCTTGTGCGTAAAATGAGGTCCAGCGGGTGCTCGTGCGTGATGGAATAGAGCTGACGCTTCCATTCCTAGTGAAGCAACGTAAAAAATATTGGTGTCGGCCACCCCGCAAACAGTTGATGAAATTTACGCTAGTTGCTGAATAGCTCTACAGCTGAAAAACCATGTTACGACTGCTGCGTACCTAGCCACTGGATGCTTGACAGCTCTGGCTATGTGTCGTTCGACATTCAGGATACCCTCTCCTAGCTTCGATGAAATCACCACTGAATCTCCCAGCCTACTACTACTGCTTCTCTGGAAGCGGAGGCAGATAAATCCCTGGAAGCCTGCGAGAAAGCGGCATCTGCAAAACCTGGGACGAGCTTTGGCTGCTCTGGAGCACTCTGGAGCGCTCCAAAGCTGTCAAAGCTGTCAAAGCAACCCAGAGCACTTCAGAGTGCTCTACAGCGAGTACCCTTGCTCTGAGATGCTTTGGACTGAATAGCAACTGAATAGAACTGCTTTCATCAAAACCCAGGTTTTGCAGATGGGGGTATGAAGAACGACGAGATGTGACAAGCGATGCTGGACGGTTTCCGTTTGGGCGATGGAGGAGGTGAAGAGGAGTTGGGATCTGGAACGTTGAATATTTGAATGGCGAGGTGACGTTGTGCCGCGGTATAACCGGAACCACCAGAAAGTAAAAAGATCAAAAGCACATGTTCTAGGCAAGGTCGATTAGGCGCCCGTGAGATGAATGAATTCGGCTGTACGAGTACTACGACTGTGTACGAAGCGAAAGTGCTGGTCCCGACACATGAACGTCATGAACGATAAAAGCATAAACTTGAAACAGTTCACCATCCTGTGTGTCGGTTGGTATGGCGCGGCAAGCAGTGACCGCGGTGACAGTATCCACTCAATACCTTTAAGCACACGCCAAGTTAAGCGTAAGAATGGACCAAGTTATACCGAAAATCTGAGCACTTTCGAGACAATGTGTAGCCCTAGAGTTTTGATCATAATTACGGTCTGGAGACATTGGGATCAGGTTCAGCCGAGTCCAGAGAACATGACTACTATCCGACTTGCATGTAAACCTCACTTGAAGCCAAACCGAAGAAATACACAGTGAAAGATATGTGCTATGAAGTCCTACGGCGAGCGAATAAAAAACTCAACGACAGACTAGACTGCTACCTCTGATTCTCTCTGGCTGGGAGTCGAACCCAGCTTTCGGGCAGTAACAACGATATCCAAGATAATCTCGATGACAGGTGCGTGTACTAGCCGATATACTACCAGAGAGTCCATACGTCGTACTCGCATAATCGATTATAGTATAGAGAACATCGTGGATGATAATGGCGATACACTTCAGTGAAGTACGCGACGACGACATATCGAGTCTCGACGGTGGATGACGAAAATGGGGGAAGAAGGTGGAAAACTTCGAGTCTACGGTCCCCAGCACTCAGTACTCAGTACTCAGCCCTCATCGATTCATCCACGGTCCTCATCAACAATCATCCACGCTCTCCCAACAACAATCACCAAAACAATCACCAAAACAAATTCCCAAACACAATCCCCCTTCCATCCTTTACCCTCCTCCGAGTAAACTCCCAACAGCGACACTAACAGGCCTCATCGGCGTCGAGTCAAACACATGCGGACAGGGCTGAAGCAAAGGTGTCGGGGTTAACCGCGGTGCTGAGCGCTGAGCGCTGATATATCGATAGCTCGCGTTCGTAGATCGACGGCTGGCGTGGTGCGGAAGAAAGTATTGAAGAAGGCGATTTCGAGACGGAGAAGCTTGAGGATGATCGATGATCGATGAGGATGAGGGGTCGTCTGAGAATGGTAAGGAAGTAGCGGAACTTACATGATCATCGTACAAATCCGCAACAACCTGTAAGGTCTCCGCGGTCTTCTGCAGCGCCTTCGTCAAGGTCAAGCATTCCCTACACCCTTCTCTCCAACACCATGCACCATGCTCCGTCTGCGTTCATACATCCCTTCCCCTTGTATCTGAGCTTCGATTTCTGCCCATTCGATAAGCCAGAGCCGGATGCCGTCGGTGAAACTTCTTCCTCGTCCTCTTTCGTCTTCCATAGTTCCACGGATGTGAGGCGATTGACCGGAGGACGCAAGAGGTTTAGAGGTGATGAGGGATATGAGAGAGTAGGATAGTAGATGTTCGGCTTTCGACATTTCTGTCAGATGGTCAGCTATATGTGGCTAAGTGGAAAGAGAAATGAGATCTCACCAATTCTAGCTTCCCTAACACGCCCAAATATCGCCCTCAAACCTTGCACGCCTTTCCCAACTGCTTTCGTGTGCTCTAGAAAGCGCTCTACAACTTCCTCAGTGTCCTCAATGTCAAGATTGAACGTTTGAACGCCGGATGAAAGGCTTGCGCGTAGAATGATTAATGGGGGTCGACGTCCAGCGGGTGCTTGTACGCTTCCATTCCTAGTAAAGAAGATTACTGTCAGCCACCCCGCAGACAGGTAGTGAAGTTGACGCTACTCACTAGGTCGAGCCCGCAGCTCAAAAGCCATGTCACGACTTCTGCGTCCCTAGTCACTGGATGCCTGACGACTCTGCAAATGTATCGTTTGAGATCCCCTCATTGAATCTCCCAGTGCACCGCTTCTTTGGGAACAGAGGTGGAGCAATTCCTGGAATCCGTGGGAAGCAACGAAATGGGAGAAACAATGCTGAAAGGTATGCAGTGGGCAATATTATTTGAATATTGGAGAAGAGTTGGGATAGACGTTGGGCAATGACACGTACTTAATTATGTGAAAGAGCCCGGAGTCTGAAGATCTGAGGACTCTGTGTTTTCGCGTGACCGTTGGCACATTGTTTAAGCGCGCGCTTTCTTCCTCATACCTCGTAATTCAGAAGAAACTCTCAACGTATCAACGCGTCCATAATCCGAAAATACTTCTCCAATCCGTTTCATACAGTTCAGATAAATACTCAGATGAATTCTCAGCAGAATCGCCCTTCTACCTCGCGTCACTCGCCGGTTTTTACTTCTATACGCAAAAATATTGGCTACATGACTTCGGACTGGGACACGCCAACAGAAGGCTAGGCAGACGAGGATGCTGATCAAGAGGCTCTCGCTGCGCCTGGCTCACAGACTCAGGCAGTCAGTGACGCTCAGGGTCTTGCTTCGACGAGTCCTCTAGCGTTTCAGTCGCCCAGACCTTGCGCTACAGGTGGTCGGCCCAACACACATTCTGGCACTCACAACCTGGCTTCTCCTTTCTCTTCGCAATCTGCTCATCCCACGTCTCGCATGGAGCCCATTACAGCTGGCTCTTCTCGTATCATTCTCCCTTTGCCACAACTACATCGAGCTCCTACTCCGGCCAGAGGTGATACATTAATACAGGAGACCACTTCCCTTCACGGCGCAATCGATCCCAAGGGCATCCGGTTTGGGCATCCGGTACCCTTCAGACCCTCCGTCATGATGGGTCCTCCTTCTGGATTCTCCGCGGCCGACTTGGAACGTCAGTTCGACCAACTGTACGGGTTGGCGTAAAACTCGCCTGAACAGGTTCTTTCCTTCCAAACGAGCGACTCCGTTACACACAGGGTTGGCCTTACCTAAGTCCTTGGTACGCCAATGGCTCCTGGTCAGTGGTACCTTCATATTACAGTACAGCGCACATACATACACTGTGACTCAGATCGCTTCCAGCACCATCTGCGTCCACCATGTCTTCGCCAACTGACCGCCTCCAGGGCGAACTCTGCACCGATTTCGTTGGAGCGTGTTTTTCTGCGGATGGGGGTAAGCTTCCACTGAATACGTGTGCACTTGTGCTTCCGCTAACACATAGCGGACAGGGGTATCCACAGGAATGGGGGAGCTCTCCAAATTCCGGCAGGCTCTTCTTAGTTCTAGAGTGCATATACAGCGCCCGAACAGTGCAGGTCGCACGGACTCACGGGACCCCTCAGTCCAGAGGTCTTCCGACGTCGCCAAATTCTCGCGATGATCGGGGTGGGACCAGACGCCCTTATGGCTATAGGGACGCCTCTCCGCGCGATGCTACTGGAGTCAGGAGGATGCAGGTTTTACCTCCCATTCAGCTCCTTGGGATTTCCGAGTTCGGGGTCCGGGTCTTCCACATTTTGGTTCTTATGAGGTGTACCAATTGTGTCTATAACAGATTTTGGATCAAGGAATCGTTGTATAACGAGTTCGAACTTCGAGCGTAATCTGATTATTCTGGTTCTGTTTTTTTCCTTTGCGGTCAACGGGGAAGAAGAAGAATTGCGCTCACGGGACCATAACAACTCGGACATTCAACGCCTCTATTCCGTTGCATCGACAAATTCAACACCCGGTTACACCCGCTCCTGCTCTCGTATATTCCTCTCTTTCAACAGCAACAGCGCTTTGACACATAACACGTAACGCATAACGGGTTATCGTACGACACTAACTGCTTTTTTTTTACACAATATCACCAATTTTTTTTTCCGTCTTCAATAATTACGCTTCATTGAAGCTGCATTTGCCTATCAAACCCCTCGGACTCACATTTCCGCCTAATTCTTTGATCTCAAGAACACGGCGTTATTCAATGGGGATTGTTTTTCAGTAGTATGGCGTTCCTAGTTATATTGACGATTGGCCTTGCGTCGATGTTTAGCTGATGAGCGGATACAGCATACAGCAACAATACACCACCCTCTCTCCTCTGCGCGGGCCGCACTTTGAAATATCCACGTACCATCCCACTTGCTATCTAGGACAACAAGATCCGTCATACAACGTCCTGCCTATACCGCCGTCCTCGAATCTGGTATCTCCCACTCACAAAGCTGTTCTCTCGTCTCACAGCGCTTGGATGATCTAGCTGCCTGTTCCATCTGATGAGTACGGTGTTCTGTCTGTTCTTGTTCCAATGGTGATGTATTCAATCCAGATTGCTGTAAAATGGGACGGTGGAATAAACCTATGTGGCTTTGGTGGATCATTGGTGTTGCTGTGCGTGTCCCAAGTTCATTCCTGCTCTCTAATATTGATGAATATGTATTGACGTTCAATCAGAACTCGGCGGTCCGATACAGCTTACAGCTTTCAACTGCTGTATGAATAAAGATGGATCTTGTAAGGACATGTTGACGCGGCCGTTTTCGAACATATATAACGATTTTTTTAAAGTGAGCTCTAGTCCCCGTGTAGAATATGCTCTCGTATTATAGACACTTGCCATCGTGGCTCGGACGAGCGAGTGTGCGTGGTTTAGCGTAAACGTCTCTGGCTTTCCACTTCCGGAGGATCGATACATAGAGGAAATCCCTGCTCGCCTCTCCTGCTTGTTTAACCTAGGCTCTGTCGTTTCACTTCATGCTGGTAGATCTGACAAACTTTTGCATATACGTGAGTGAGCAAATAACCCGGTGTATGGAAATCTCCTGGCTTGAACAATGTTTGTTTTGTTGTAAAAGTACGCCATACTCTCGTTATTTCCCCGGCCGACTATCCGTTTCTGATGGGCTTCATGAACTCTCGCGTGGACCATTCGTTGCTTTCTCTCTCATCGTAATGGATACTTGCGACCGAATACCAAAACGCCACTGAAGGCATCCATTGATACCTTGTTAGCAGACAACCACAGCGTGTGCATGTTGTCGAACGAAAAGTAAGGAAGACCTCAAGATAACCTTATGACTCGATAGTCTGATTATTTCAGAAGATCAGGGGGCTATTGAGTATGGGACCTCTGACACCTTCGCCGCACGAGCCCGTATATTGTATCTAGATCTAATACAACTCCCTACACGTTGTCCCTTTTCGAGGATGAAGGTACACACTAAAAGTGTTTCCGCGTGGCTAGCTGTATTATGCCTATATCTATCGCAGCCAAACGTAAAATCCCCCCGACCACATCTCGCTCTCAATTCACTTTCTGTACTGTACTGCGATTGTCACTGACTATGGCCAGCGTTAAGACTCCATCTGTCTTGTGGGCCCAGCGAAGCTCGGCAACCATCAAACAGAAGGTCGGTACTAGCTCTTTGTGCTATCCTTAACTAGAGCTGAGAATGACATGCGCCTTAGAACTTCATTTACCTGACCGTCAGCGTTCGAGGGATTATACACTCCACTTTGGAATATAACATCACAAACACAACCATCTCTCTGAAAGTCAACGGGAGAGAGTGCGTCATCCAATGCAAAATTTGTTTTTTCAATCATGGTCTAACTTTGAGTTTTGGTCTAGGGGAAATGAAGAGCACAAATACGCCTTTGAACTTGATTTTTACGCTGA